TTTATAAACATTATCACCATGTGGGTTATTGATGATAACTCTGGGCCTTGAGTTTTCTTTATTGAAAGCAATGTCATCATACATGAAAACAATGACATTCTCCTCTTTAAGTCCACCTTTTATCAAGATTTGATATGCATGACAAACATCAGCCTGTCAATTGCAGAATTAAGAATGTGCCAGAAAGCTAAAATCAAATCGAAATGAATTGATCATAGATATTCACAATACCACATAAATGACCATGTCAATAAAATCTTAATCCTTGAATACTAGTTTACACATTGCCAAACGTAACCTAGGGTGTGCATTCTTACAAAAACATGAATCTAACTTCATCCAACTAGGGGTGTTCATCGATTCAAGACCAGACCGAACCGGACCACAGCAGCAAGGGACAACGAGAATAGTAATGGAACTGTCTTCGAAAATATGGAACTTGTTTAGGAGGACAAGTAGGCATATCTAAATTGACAAACATGCTTCTTCTTCAACACATCAAACAGGTACGCATATCATTACCTTGCCCTTATAAGTCCCTATAGCATGCTTCTTCTTCAGCACATCAATTAGGTCATTTGCATACATGTTTGGAAAGGTAGGCATATCTAAATTGACAAACAAACAGTTGGTATCATTAAATCTAGTTACTATGAAAAAATTGGAACAAGAGGATAAAGCTACGAACCTAACACTCCAAGTCCGTCATGATCAGAGTAGTATTTGAAGATATGATCATTTGGACCACAAACTGAACTTGTTCATTTTTGGCACAAGGTTTGTCCCATATAGTCTTTCCTTGAATAAATGTAAGATTAAGTGTTTATTTTTACCTTCATCTTACTTTACCTTCCCTACATGTTTTTACAGTATAGCCATGAGCTGAAGCACAGATGCAGCTCATTGAAGCAATGTCTCACAGAATGTATTTAGATCAAAAAGCATAAAACTTGTTGGCAAGCTCTTATTCGGTATTGAAAAAGGCCCATAGGTGTTAAAAGCCATTCGACCAGCTGGGCAACCTCTTGTTGATGATTGGGACTGCCTCAAGAAAATGGTATTTAATGCTATCAATGTTGAACCCCCCTCTCCTCTCTCTTTCTCATATTATATTATGTTAATAAATGTAGGTAAGGATATTTGAGGCACATTGTGGGTCCTTGTCCCAGTACGGCATGAAACGCATTGGATCCCTTGCAAGCAGATGCAATGCTAGAGTTCAGATAGAGCAAATGAACAAAGCATCAGCTCAAGCTTGCAGTGTTATCCCTTCTGGTCCTTAGAGCTCTCTCTTCATCGATGATTTTTTGCATGAAGGTAAGAAACAAGCATTGTTACTCATATTAATGCATGTGTAAGCCTATGTATGTTACTGCTAGAATTCCCCTTAAACAAGGCTGCTATGTTGGGAAATTATATTTTCACCAATTGTTGATTCGGCATTCCTTACTGATTAAGGTGCTAATGACCTGACATGTTTTGTTTTGTTGTTGATATTGTTGCCGCTTTGGTATTGATGCAGGATAGTGGTATTGGATTTGGTTAATCTAGCCGCTCCTAACTACTCTGATTCTTTTCTGTTTACATAATATTTAATTGAATTAATTTTGATTAGTCCTCATTAAAATACTTAAGTGTATGTATGTGTGTGCTAAGTAGTTCTTGAACCAAACTGCACTGTATTGAAGGTACAGTATGTTTGGAATACATATTAGAAATCTAGTAATTAGACTAGTTTAGTTGGTAGAAAAACACAGTTAAAAGAGCTGTCTCTTGGTTGAGCTGAGGTCTGATTGTGTTTTGGTTTCGATTAAATATGGCATAGGTTGTTCTCATGCCTTTTAAACATTTAAAATTTTCAATTTGTGGAGTGGTATATGCTGTGGTGGCATCGAGTTACATGTGATTGATTTCCAGTTCGAACCGCCTGATTCCACTACTACTAATAAGCATATATGTTTGGTTTATGCTGTTTATTATATGGATCTCATGATTTGTTTTGGATTTGCTTGTAGCTGCTGCTAAGCCTTGATGCTTGTGCTAGATCATCTTACACAAGGGCAGGTCACGGAAAAGAAGACATCAAAGTAAAACATTTCGATGCATTATGTTTTTCATCAGTAAATAATAATGATATTACCCTACATATCGAGTTAGTTGTCCCTCGTCATTGAATCTGACCCTAGACTTGTTTTTATCTGTTTATTACCCAACATAATACTCCGTATCTGTTTTTGTTTCAATTTTTTTAATCTTTTTTTTTTAATTACCAGTAATGATCAGCATCAAGCCGAAATGAACGATTTCAGCCAAAATCCAAATAGAAGAGGAAACTGCGAGAAAGACTAAAGTAGTATTAAAACATTAAAAACCATATTATCACAATGTGAAGTCTTATTTTGGAAAAAGCATGAAAGTCTTATTTTGATATTTTTATCTGTGTTTTAGAAAAAATTGTACTCGGTACTAACAACAACCCAGAAGACTTACGGGAGACGAACAATTATTATTCTCATATTCTGTCGCATATGTGTTACATGTTTGTTTTTATAAAACTAACAGGGCCACAACATTTCTCATTTGCAGATCAGATCGGATTTTTTGGAGAAAAAATTAAATTAAATTAAATTAAACGACATCATGCACAATACAAATGTCACATACATATATATATAGGAACCCAGATTTATTTATTACAGCACTAGCTAAGTGATGAAGGGGTGTGTATAAAATAGCTTTGCAACCAAGCAGAGATCATTCTTTCTCTTCCTGCCCGGTCTATTTTCTTCTTCTTCCTGCGTAGCTTCTTTAATATTTATTATTTAATTAATGTTAATCTTTTTATTTATTTTTGTTAATTTACGAAATTTGACCGATTTAATTTTCAAAATCAATTTATTTGATTGTAGGTATAAAATTAAAAAATAAAATTTATATATTTAAAACTATATGAAAAGTTCTACTAAACAAGATGTGACAAGTCTATACTCCCTTCATCTACAAATAAACATCCCATTGCGTGTTGCGATATTTGACTGAAGTTATTTTCAAATTATTTTATAAGAAAAATGGTGTAAAATTTAAAAATAAAAATTACATATTAAAAAACTATATCAAAAGATCTACAAAACTAGAGGTGACAAAACTATATTTTTTATCAAATGAGTGATGAAAATAAGTCAATAAAATGAATAAAGTTTGACTCTATAAATAGCAAACGAGAAATTTATTTGTGGATGGAGGGAGTATTATTTTATCAAAAAATAGGTAAAGAAAGTGATTTAAGTTTGAATGTGTAAATAGTTACTAGAGAGATAGTTTTAAAGTGAAAGGAATATCTATCTTTACTAATAAATACTCCCTCCATCCTCCATAAATGTATCCAATAGCCATTTTTCTTTGTCCACAATAGATCTTCTCATTTCATTTTTTAACAATTAAAATACCACAACTACCCCCACTTACTTTATTTATTACACCTCACCCACCTCATTTAAGACACTCCACCCATTTTTCATTAAGGGTATTATGGTAAACTTTCACCTTTTTTCAACTCTCCTTAAGAACTAGCAAAAGTTAAAATGAGAACATCTTAGGGGGGACAGAGAGAGTAAATATTTATATTAAATTTATATAAATTTTGAATTAAAAATAAAAAAATACTCGTATTATAAAAGAAACGGAGAGATAGAGTTTTAAGTGGAGCCTACTAAAATGGTGGGAGGAGTTGGGACGGGACTGAAAAACCCCTCATTGTAAAGTACTCCTCGTTGGGAAAATCCACCAATCTTCGTTGCCTTAAATATATTTCAACCAAACACACAGTGGAGGATTAACTTTTTGTCAATGGGAGGACATGGATGGATTTCTTGTAGACGCAATTTGTGTTTGCACGGCTTGACAGACAGACTGGGAACTTCTTCTTTCTTCCCGAAATCATCATCTTCTTCCTTTGCCAACCCAATCTCCCCCTACTCCTGACGGTACGTCTTTCTTAATTTTTTTCTTTTTTCAATTTTATACGGAGAGTTTTAATCCTTTCTCTCTCTCTCTCTCTCTTTTTTAGACTCAGCTCTATTCCGACCGAGTCTTAGCATTGTTGTTTTGCTGAAAACTTCAATCTTTTTTGCTGAAAGCAAAATCTTTTGATGAAATTTGACATATCTAAATTCAAAACTACGGAGTACTTCTTAAAGGAGCTAAATTCTATGAAATTTAAATTATACTCCGTAAGTAAACATATTCACATGAAATTTAAATTATAATTAAATATATTCACAAATTGTAGTTGAAGTTTGTAAAATTGTAGCCATAGCAATAACATGCGAAACCTAAGATTTGACCTACAAAAGGTGATGTCTGAAAAAATAATATCCAAATGACCAAATTCCCAATCCCTAAATTTTGAGTATGTTATGGACTTGGATGTTTGGTTCAATGACCATAAGGAAAATTAATGAATTTAGTACCGGAATCTTCGTGGATCGATAAACATGGGAAACTTATTTATTCCCCCCACATTGCAGGTGAGGTTGTATTCTTCTCCTAATACCTATTGGAATTCATAATTAATAATCTAATTTCAAATTGTTTGGTTATAACAGGGATCATGGCCTTCTTGCCCTTCAGAATAGCAAAGCGTATCCGTGATCTTTTTAAGAGAGGACGAGTGCTTCTGGTATCATTCCTCACTTTTCCATTAAGAACAGAATATTTGCTGGTTTTGTATGAAGTTAAACATGGAATTCTATGCATGCATAATGCGTAAGGATGTGCCCATATAAGATAAAGAAGTATTGGTGATGTGTTAAATTGGACCAACACACACACACACACGGGCCTAAAATGTACCCAAGTGTTAAGAGATTGTTTTCTTTTCTATTCTTATCCAATTTTTCTTTACCTCAAGCTTTGACATTTTTTTCCTAATAAATAAAAAAAATTAGCATAGTGAACTTAAAAAACAGTAAATATATTGGGGTTATTTAGAAAGAAAGTGAAATATTGCAACGTCAAGATTTTTTTGCCCAATGGATTGTTTTGATGAAAAGGTAATGATTTTATTGGTATGTATGCTAATCATCATGTTTATATGTATCTCAGGATGTACACTCTATGGTTGGGGGCAACATCAGTCAACTTCCTGATGAAATTCTTGAGTGTATACTCAATAAATTAAAACTTAGGGATGCAGTCAGAGCAAGTTTGGTATCATCAAGATGGAGGCATCTTGTTTTGTCCCGGGCTAACCTTGTCTTTGATTTGTCTAACATTTTTGGAATGGAAAGTTGTGATCTCAAGGGAGCTTCAGGAAAGAAATGTGTTTGTTCAGAATACAGAGTTAAATTTGTACAAGCTGTATATAGATTCATAGCTTCGTATAGAGGCAGATGTATTAGCAAGTTCATTGTTCATTTTTGCCTGAAGAGGGACTTCGCTTCTCATGCCAGGGATTGGATTAGATTTGCTCTTGATTTAGGTGTGAAAGTGATCGACTTGCAGTTTTATTGTGAACATTGCAGTACTAAAGGGGCACTGTGTGATACTCAGTGCGAAATTCCTATAAAGCATCTTCTGTCATCTAACTGTGATGCAGGAGCAACTTTTTCTTTCTGTCCATTCAGCCACGTAGAGGCCCTCAGATTTGATCACACTCGCTTGAAGTCTCAATGTATATGGAGTTCGCTATCAACCTTAGTAAACCTCAAGCAGTTGAAAATGGAATTTTGCGAATTGCCTCCCGATTTAAGCTTCAACTCACTCACCAGTCTAGAGCGTGTCTCGGTTTTGTTTTGCATCGGGTTGAAAAAGATTGAACTGGCTAGTCTTAAGATCAAGAGTTTGAGAGTTTTGTGTCAGAGGACTGTTTCATTGGAGCTAACTGGGGTTCCTAACTTGGAAATACTCCATTATGCAATGCCTGACAATGGCTTGGGGTACAAGTTTTCGAAGCTGCCCGAATATGTTCCTCATTTGAGATCTTTGAGGGTGGACTCTACTTCCAACTGGGTAGGCGCATAAAAGTTGAATTTTGCTATCGAGTTTTCAAGTGCCATTATGTTTTTCTTATGCACCATAAACCATACTCCGTGCGCTTTTGTTTTACAGCTTGAACACATNATTGTTCAACTTTTGAAGTTGTGCCCTCTACTCCATCATCTTTATACATCAGTGAGTGATGTTGTTTGATCTTCTTCTATTGACTATGTGCTATGTCTTGATATATATCTAGTTATAACTCTTGACTGTGACGACTAATTTCGGTTACAAATTGCAGCTGAGTGCCCGAGAGGACAAGGAACCAGAGAAGCTAGGGTCCATTGATGAATACCATCATGAATGTCTCGAGCGGATTACAATCCGTTATTTTGTGGGCACCAAGTATCAGATCGAGTCTTGCAAGTATCTACTCCAACTTGCTCCTCGCTTGAAAAAGTTGGGATTAAGGCGTGCTTTGCCCGATACGTTGTCGTGTCTAAAAGAAGCAGGGTATAGAAGTCATCCAATGAGTGAAGAAGAATGTGAAAGCGCGGTAAATGCGCTGAAACTATTTTCAATTGACGCGAAGGTGTTCTTCATTTAATTTGATGAAACATTAATGTAGTTTTTGTTGATCATTTCAATAATTTACAGTGAATTTTTCATCAAGTTTATAGCATTCCCAAACACATATCGGTTAGTTATGGAGCTAGTTAATACACAAAGTCTCAATGTCTGAAAAAAATTATATCTAAATCCCCTATTCTTAAATTTTGAGTATGTTATGGGCTTGGATGCTTGGTTCAATGATGAGATGGAAAATTACCAGTGTCTTACACTATGTCGTTCAAGGAATTTAAAAGGGAAATGAAAAGAAAATGAGAACAAAAATAGCTTTTCAAACGTTTGGTTAGAGAAGAAAAGAAAAGTGAAAAGAAAACGAGAAGATAAAACGGAGTAAGAGGAAGAAAGACCAAATTCCCTTTCCTACTTTGCCACCCACATCCACTCTTGCTTATTCTTGCCACATTTTACGTTCTTGTTTGCAGCCACTTTGCCTTGTGCACCCCCGCCCTATCACTCATCCCCACACCTTATCTATCCCCGCCCGATCCCTCACCCACACCTAATCCACCCCACCCTCTCCCCATCGTCCCCCTCCACTCGCAACACCACACCACCTGGCCCCCGTCACTTGCCACCCCACACCACATTCCTTAACACCCTACCTAGCCATCCTATTGGTCCGCCTCTCCCCATATTGCTAAAGTATTTCTAAATTGTCTAAAAATATTTTTTTAAATATCTCTTTCTAAATATTAACATTGAAAATTGTATTTTGAGAAAAAATTCTTTTATGCCAAACAGCAAAAAATATGAATTAGCTTTTGAAGTCAAATAAGACCTTATTTTGGATCCTCACTTTAGAGTCAAATAAGACCTTATTAAAGCATTTCTATGAATTAAACTAAGCAGTAAGCATACAGCACATTTCAGCTTTTAATTAACCAACAATACATTAGAGATTTATGTCATGTCAAATTAATTTAATGGTGGTGGCCATATCTCATCCATCCATCCATCTATCTGGACAAGGAAAATTTAACAAATCATCTACAAAAGACTCAGTGGCTAGTTAAATTATGATGCTAGGCTGCATAATATCAAGTGAACCAACCTCTCTTCCCTCCCCCATCCCCCCATTCTGGACAAGTTCATCTTCCTCGTCAGCCCCCGCCGCCCCATGATGATGATGATGATGATGATAACTCAACCTGTCATCAACTCCTTCACAAATCTCCACGTCATCAACCCTGGGTCCAAAGCTGGCTGCTACTAATTCACCACCATCGTTGTCATCGAACTCATGATTGGATGTGATATACAGGTGTTTAGGACTATCAACTCCACGACCTGTGGCATCTAGGTGGTGGTCAGCAAGATCGGCATCAATGGCTGCTGCAGGAGAAAATGGAGACGGCAGACAGTCCATTATTTCATCGGTGGCATAATATTGATCCACCTCCTCCTCTTTTCTTCTGCGTTTGGATGTGCCTTTCCTTCTTATTCTCTCCTTTCCTCTCCCCCGTTTCCCAATCTCATCATCGGGCGAGTTGGCTATAATCACCATTGAACTCCCCCCGCTCTGGTGGTGGTGGTCTCTAAAGCACTCACGAGCAGCATACTGGATTCTTGACACAACTTGAATCTGCTGATCGTCCATCCCGTGAGTGGATAGGGTGTCTGCTAAATGCGCAATCTCTCGTAGTGCAGCATTCTGTAATTCATAAATAAATAAGGAAAAAGTGAGTTCATATCCATTTCTTTATTTGCTCTGGGAGTAGGTTCAATGCATGTAGAGTAGAGTGGTGGTGGGAATAGATACACCTAAAGATATGTGCAATGTAACAAAAATCAAAATCAATACAACAAAGCCTTGAATCCCAAGTAACACGGGCCGGGTCGGCTACATTAACCAAGAGGAGAAACGCGTCCGGTCATCACAGAACAAATAAACCACAAGAAAAAAAATTAGCCAGTGGCAGCCTGGTAGGCAGGAGACACTTACCATTCTTTGGAACTCTGAAGAGATGGGTACAGGCCTCCCAACCAACCTGCGTGTGATATTCCAATACCATTGCATATATGCACTTTCCTTCACATGTTCCTCCGCCTCCACAACATGGTGATGACGGCTTGACCACTCATTAAGCTCAAACTCCATCTTTGTTGAGAGATCTACCCCACCATCCACTCCACGGCTCTTCCTCTCCCATCTTTGTACCTCTTGAGGTATTGTTTGGTTCATGCCAAATTGCCTCAGGACACGATCCGGGAGGTGCCTTTCTGCCTTATCGAAGCATATCAGCATGGTCTTTGATCTTCCAAGAATCGTAGTATTCATAATACTTTCTGGAACGGCTATGTGGCTTATGTTGGAATAAGGACACCAATCAACCTGAATATATAAAGTATACACAATAACACTAGAGAGTGAATTTTCATCTCCAGATGAGAAACCTAAGAAAACAGGCAATCAGCCTGCCAGACATCCACCGAACATATCATTTAAACATACATCAGGTGGCTTTAACAAGTCCAATGATTTCCGATAGAATGCTACATCACGGTTTGATGTTGGGCTGCTTTGTTTTCCTTTCCACCTAAGTACAAACGGGAAGCATTCATGAATCGGTTCATGATTAAGCTTTGGCCGACCAACATTCAGGTGATAATAACTCCAGCACTGCAAACCCAGAAAAATTATAAGTTGCAACTTGCAACACAGATTTTATACAGCAAACACTAACTACTGTCAATGGTCTCAATTAATCTGCTAATAATGGGAAAAAAGTAGTGTATGAGAGTTACTTCTTTTGCTGAAATTGATGCTTTTAGATTTACTTATAAAAATTACTTTCTTTCTATTTTCTACACACACACACAGACACACATACATACATTCATACACAACTATACATGCATACATATATGAGTGTGTTAGGGAAGTTTTCACTAGAACCCTTGGTGATGGATTTGGTTCTGAAGAATTGACACACACCCTTGGATTTTTTTAGAAAGGCAATCGTTTTGAAAAGCAATCCAAGAGTGGATGACAATCCTTCCTGATCAAATAAGTCACGAAAGACCGTCACGAATATTTTCCTATATATACTCCCTGCGTACCAAAAAGAACTTCACCATGCCCTTATTTGCATGTCCGAAAATAAACTTCACTCTTCTCATATTTAAATTTAAGGAAATGAAAAACCATTTCAACCCATACAATTTTCACTTTTCAATGGTTCTCTTACACTATGTTTGGTTCAAGAAATTTGAAAGGAGAAAGAAAAGAAAATGAAGTGGAAAGCATTTTTTCTTGTTTGGTTTGAGAGGAAAACAAAGGAAAAATGGAAGGAAAATAAAATGAGAAGGCAAAATGTACTAAGTGGAGGGAAAACCAAATTCCTCTCATTTTAGTGAGGAAAATGAGAGAAAATCATTTTCTTTAAAATAAGAGAAAATCATTTTCTTTTCTTTTCCTTCGAAATTCCTTGAACCAAACATAGTGTTAAACTTCATGAAGTCAAATTGTAAAATTCTTTATGGGACAGAACTCAGAGAGGGTATGTATATGTGCACTCAAAAAATAAATATTTCAATGAGCAGATACAGCCATTTTGAGAGTTGAGACTTGCCAAATTGGCTTTCAGTGATCAAGCCACTGCAACAGTGTATTCCCAGTAAAAAATTGAAAACACAAGATTAGACAGTCTCATATTACCTGTAGCAATGTTAAACAGCCACTAATTGTGCTCTGAGACCTAAGAGAGGCATTTCCAAGTGCTCTGTACAAGAAGGACAATGCTGCTGCACCCCATGCATACTTTCCGGCCTCATCAAAGTCGTCAAACAAAGGAAGGTACATAACAGGCACCTTATTTCCAGTGGTAGTTGAGAATATGGTGCTACCAATGAGATAAAGAAGGTAAGCACGCGTATGGTGCTCAATATCTTCGGGTGATGCACCCTCAGGACAGAAAGAGAATGTCTCTTTCAACCAACTAAGCTTCACCATGCCACCACTTGTGTACCCAGAGTTAGGTACTTTACCCAAATACTTGAGGCACACTGCCTCACACGAAGTATAAGTAACACCTATAACCGGTTCACCATCAACTGGTAGCCCAAGCAAGTAAGCAACATCCTCAAGTGTCACTGTCATCTCCCCGACGGTGAGATGGAACGTGTTTGTTTCTCTCCTCCATCTCTCCACCAAAGCTGAAATAAGTGGATTGTCCAAACTAATAGCGGGTATCAATCTTAAGTAGCCAAACCCAGCCTTTTTTACCAACTCTACTTGTCTCTCTGTGAGCATCCACCTGTCAAGCCTTGAAGTGTGTTCGTGGCATCTAAGAGCACCCCGCTCCTGTAAAAAACGGAGGTAATTATAATAATAATTACCATCATAGGTTCATTACATTTTATTATTATTAATGCGATTACAGGTGAGATTGTATTGAAAAAAGGTCAGTGGAAGTACCTGCCCCTCCCAAACCGCACTTGATACATGCTTATCCTGGTCATACAATACTGAGTCATCAACTGGTCCCGCATTGTTTACATAATGGTCCATTATTTGGTCCAATGAAGTTGGTATTGTATTGGGTTTGTTGTGTTCTTGGAGCTAACTATGTGTGCTTCACAAACAAAAACACCCTATAATAAAAGAGAAATTAGAATGAAAGAATTAACTCAAACATGTAATGGCTAATGAGATACCAACATTGATTGAAATAAATAACAAGGACGCTGAGTTGTATTTTATTGTGTATCTTGTTATTAAGCAATACCACTTTTCCACTTTCCTTATTATATGTATATGTTATGCACACACAAGGAAAAGAGAGAATAGAAGAAAATTAGAAGTTAAGCACATTACATATCATAAAACAACTTACCCAATAAAATCTCACAAATGGGGTCTGAGAGAGATGAGTCAAAGTGTCTAGGATCTAGAATGAAAGAAAAACTACAGCAATGACTACAGCAATGACTACCCATATGACCAAAGTGTCTAGGATCTAGAATGAAAGAAAGTATTTTTTAAATAAATAGAATGTACACTGAGGCTATTTAGCATAAATAGAATGTACACTGAGGCTATTTAGTCTCGTATCTACTAATGGTCAGCTCCATTATGAACTTCAAAAAGATAAAAACAAAGTACTTCATAGACCAGATCACCAGAACAGCCATTTCATCTCCATCAAGCAAAAGGGTCTAACCAAATGGCATATACCTCCCACCAAAAGATGAAATTCAAGGTGTGCGTCCAATTCAGCGAGAAAGCTAAGCCCATTTCAAAAGCACAAGACCAATGTTTGTGTTGGGATAAAGGGCAATATTGGAGTATTGGACTCTATTTGTTAAACTTATATGAGGATCATTAGAGCATTCTGAATCTATATTCTATCGATACACTTAAGGGGCAACAAATTACCAAAGCTAGAAATAAATGGAGATGCATGTCATAGGTGTGCTGAGTGTGTGGCAGATAACGTGCAGAGGGCTAAAGAGAACACCCATAATCATGTTTGCCAATTTGAACTTAGTAGGTTGAGCACCATTTTCTCAGCATTTTCAAATGGCAAAGACTTGAATTGTCAGCAATTCCACATCATAGACAGTTTTCTGCATTGGACAAATAACGAAGACGTGGACTTTTTTTTCTGTTTCCTAAATAAAGAAAGAAATTACAATACTACACAACGGCTCTGAAAAAGAAGGGAGAGAGATGAAAAGAAATGAACTTGAAAATTATAACTAAAAAAGCACAGGAGTTTTCAATCAACATGTCAAAACAGAACTTGCAATTCAGGATTGATGAGATATCTCTATAAAAGCGTCAAGTTGGAAGAAGTAGATTCAGTTGATGCAAGCGCAAACCGAACCTGTGAAGAAATCTGTGGTCGGACACGGGGACATTGTGGCGTGGCGTACGGTTGATCGGATTGGATCTCAGAGGCGCAGGACACGACGGGCGTACGCGGCGGTTCGGTTGAGTTAGGTAGGCGGTGATAACGGCGCCGGGCGGAGTGGTTTGAATCCGGCGTTGATGGTGTGGTTGCAGCGAGTTGGGGTGCGTTTTGGGTGGGGAAGGGCCGAAGGGGTGAGGACAACTATGAACTATGGACGCGGTCCGTACTCAGATCTTTTTGCTTTTCTAGGCCCTCCTTGTCTTGTGTTTTTTTCGTAAATTCTTTGGTGGTTTCTTTAGATCTATACTAATTTTTTTTTATTTATGTACTTTCGAGACATGAAATGAATAAATGTAAAATGTAACTCATTTAACTATGAACACATGAAAATTTGTGAGAAAATTCATATTTCACATATAAATCTTAAGATCACGACAACGCAACTCTTACAAAAATATGTCGTACTACCCAAATGTCATTAATATTTTATGACTAAACTTATGATGTTTTACATAACAAAATGTGTTAAGCATGTGAGAATATGAGATTTGATAATATTTTGTATATTATTATTATTATTTTCGTATGAACCATTTTCGCCTTCAATTATTCTTAGAGCTTGCAATATGTTGGCCAAATCAAATGTGATTTTGTTTTTTTAGAATACGGGTTATTTTGGGTTTGAATGGAAAAATGAATGTTCAGTATAATCTGTCATCGGGTTCGACCCGATACAGTGAAAAAAGAGCATTTATTATTAGAACATATAAATTTATATTAGCACTTGGATTTTGTATAAAAATATTAAGGTATCAAATTATATTTTAAAGCTATTCTAATAAGGAGTATGTTCTTTTGAATTTACAAACTTTTTTAGATATATAAAACAATGTTATAATAAGTAAATAACTAAACAATTAGCAAAGTAATAATCCTTTACCATTATATTTCACACAAAAATACAAAATTTCAAACATACTTGGTTAGGTCTGATTTAAGTAGGATTTCACCCCGTGTAAGAAGTTATTTCTTGGTCAACTATTTTTTTCATTTTTGTGAAAGAAATTATGTGTCAGGCAATATTTATTGTCATCAAAGAAGTGAAGTGTTTCGAGCGGATGGTGGTGGCGAGAAACGGTCTTACTTCTGTTACTTATCATTAATAAACATCTTTAGAAAACATCTAAATGCGCATCCAATTACATTCAGGGTCCGTTTGGTATACAGAATTGATGGAATTGGAATTAAATTGGAATTAAAATTCCATGAGATTCAATTCCATAGAATTGAATTCACCAATTCACATTCTTTTTTTGCACTATCAATTTCAAATCCACATAATTTTTGTGCTACCAAACACCAGAATTGGAATTGAAATCCTCAATTCCAATTCCATATTTTGAATTTCATGTACCAAACGGGGCCTCAACCATATCATTAATTGGCTCTTGTATAGAAGAAATCTTATTTCTGGGGGAAAGTTTAGGTTCTTCCACCATCAAAATATAAACACTTCCAAGTCAAAATGAATCTCAAAGTACACATGCATCCCAAAAAATGGATGGATATTTACAACTTCTCACAAAAATACTTCTTTCCAGTTTTCAACTATATGTGATCCCTAATCTAGTTTTGTTCGTTGCAAAACATTTCAAATTTAAAGAATGAAAGTAAAATAAATAAACAACTAGATAAGCTCCTTCAAATTACTTTGTTCTTCATCGATGAAACAATACTGATATGGTCTTGAGACGATTTTTCTATACAGTAATACACAATATTTTTCTATACACTATACTCTGTATAAGAGAAATTTAACAACTACGAGTAATTAATTCCGAACAAAGAGAGATTGAGTATAACAAGCTTCTTCACAAGATATATTTTGATATAATAAATTATAGGATACCAATGTTTTGTAATATCAGAAGTGAGACGGATCTTTGAGTACACAATTACATAACATTCTTTCTGTCCAAAGAAATGATTCGTTTAGTGTACAAACAGATAGATGGATATATTGACACAAGTTAACACTTTAGTTGGCCGCTGTATTGGTTAAAAGAACAATGGGATGATGAAGTAAGGCCTTCCTTCCACAATTAAACTGTTCATTGAAATATTTTCAAGTGTTCCTTCTTTGGTTTTCTTTTTCTTCTTGTCAACACAAGATCTAGGAATCCCCACGGAGCATTAACGATTGAAAGGGTACCTTCTTGATCTCAACGAACGTAGAAAACTCTTTGTCCATTGGTTGTTTCCATGGCTCGCCGTCCATCTGCATATAAGCTTCTTTCCAGTCTCCCCCTCGCAACTCAAATCTGATCGCCGAAGCCTGAGAATTGAAAAGGAAGAAGGTTTAATAACCAAAGTCTGGCAAAGAGTCAAAAGCATTTTGTGTGTGGGGGGTACCTGGGCTATGTGTTTGGCAGAGATGAGTTCAACCATAACCATGGAAGCATGNAGTGGCCAACCTCCAATTTCACCACCTTCAACAATAAATAAAATACATACATAAATAAAAAAACATAAAAGAGCGTGCGCACTCTTAAGCAGTATCCACCACTATCCACATTAAAGAACTGATATGCAGCAAAATATAAAGGGCACACACGCCAGTAATATAGATGTATCGTATCATACCTTCTCCAAATAATCTGGCTTCAAATGGCCCCAGGGATTCCTTCCACTTCCGTAGCTTGGAAGATTGAGAGCAACAATGGACCGAACACTAGAAAGCAAATAATATTATATTATGATTGTAAATTAAGGGACAATAAATTACTATGGTAAACTGTTGCGATTATCTCACCTTGATGGGACAGGGATTAGTTCCCAGTTTGAGCAATTGGCCTTTTTAATCTGTATACGCAGTATGTTTTTCAATCCCCTTCAAAAAAATGAACAAGTCGTTGTGAATCTTCACATAATCTCACAGAGATCTTACAAGGAAAAGAACAGGGCGATGTCACTAATAAATATAAGCAAACTTATGTTGGGCGTGATGTTAGATCTGAAGCAAATTCATTGTATGTGTCATCATACAACCTTTTCTTGATTGATAAATCTTTAACTTTGCCATCATAGATATAAAAAAAAGATGACAGCAACTCAAAATAGGACTTAAAATGGATATTAATGTGTGGGATATCTAGAACTTGACATACACAAGTTCCACTACTATGAGTGTGGTTCTAACAAAAAAAGGAAGTGTTTTTGAATTGTCGGATTAATCATTGATTGCTTAGGTAAAAGTAAAAGTATGTACTACGTAGTGCTTTCAAATAAAAGTGCAAATTTATGCCCAAGTGATTTTAAATGTTTGCAAACCAAAAGTTGTTTGAAACAAGGATAAAAACATCCCTAGACACACGAGTGAAAAATGTCGGTAGAGATAAAACTGAAAAAGTTGTTTGAAATGAACATAAAAATAAGGAGGTAACAAGCTGCTTTTGGCTTTTGAGTTTAAGCGGCTCCAAAAAGTGATATTTAAGCATAAAAAGTCACTACAAATCACTAAAATTGCAAAGTACTTATAAAAAGGCAATATGCAGAAATCTAAGTGATTAAAAACACTCTGTATACATCTACATTCAATCCAGTTTCAACACTTTGTGAAAATATAAATTTTCCTTGAAAGTTCAGTTATTTTACAAATGATAAAGTGTGTACCTTAATCCAGGGTCACTAGTACAAGGAGTGAAAAACCAACCCTGCTTGCAACTATATCCTGAGTAAATCAACTGAAATAAAGAAGTCAGCAGCTTGTTGAACTTGGTAGTTCCTGTGCAGTTAATTAACATTTCAAGGGTAAAATACTATTACACTGAGCTCTTAAGCTGAAATAATTGCACATAGTACACTTATAGTCTTATCAAAACTTTCAAATAAAGGGACTTGGGCAGAAGCCAGAATTCTCAAATCCTAAATATTTGAATTTGGGGGGTGGGAGAAGGAAAATAAGCATTCATTTTAACTTTTATGGGAAAAGATGTACATAATATATGTAGAAAATATTCCAGAAATTGGGGACTGCTAACTCCCCCCGCATGCTCCTACCCTTAAAGAAGGAGAGTCTATAAACTAGTGAATTCCTGAACTACAAAAGTAACTTATACTCCGTGTCTAAAAATTCAACTCTAGACAGGTAAAAGTAGTGAAAGGTAGTAAATATGTAGGTTGTTGTCTTGTTGAGAAAAAATGTAATTTTATGTAAAGAAAGTAAAAGTTGCAGCCAAAAAGGACTAATGGGCATGGCAGACCCCTGATGTAACCCCATTATCTAAGTCAATACATAACATGTCTAGGTCCCTCCTTTTGTCCATGTACTGCTCCATCAGTCTCCTCAGAATGGTCTCAGTTAATCACTGACTAGGCGTGAAATACCATGTCTCTAAGATATTTTAGACAATTTATCATAATTTCTTTATGGAATATTGTTGACATGAATGAATGACAAACTCTTTTAAAGGACATAATTGACATTTTAAACTCATCTCTTAAGAATGAGATTTTTTGAAAGTGGACAACTAAATCCGGACAAAAGTACAAGATGAGATTTTTAGAAATTACAGGATGTACCATGATGAATCATCATTTTAGGAAGTTCAGGGTTCCAAACTTCTATGTTCAACAAACATCTTTGATACCATACTCTCAAATATGGAATCAAAGTAAACACTAACAAACAAAAAATTAATAAATGAATAAGAATGAATAAGAACCACATACCTTGTTTGAAATAGGACCTTGGGCAAGGTATGGCTTTTCATTCCGTAAATGGTGGAAACCATAAGCAACCTGAGCATCCATTCCTGCACCCATCATGTATAAGATACATTGTTTTTTAGGCTGTAGAAATTTTCATAAAAAGTCCAGTACATGGAAGTTAATTACCATCCCAAATATCACATATACCAAATTGTACACCTATTATACCAGTAAAAGTTGAAATAAAACAAATTATTTTGAGTGCACACCTATGCTGAAGTAATTATAAAATACTCCTTGATAGTAGGATTGCTTCTCAGGAAACGCCCCATTAATTCTCTGATCCTGATAAAAGCTCAACAAACCACTGAAGTATTTAGATATACTTATTAAAAGAAAACATGCCCCATGAAGCATAGTCACATTGATGATGGATTCTTCTAAACACGTGAAAAGTCCAAAAAGCTTGATTGACCAGCTAACAACATATTCACATTCCAATTTAGCAACTTGATAAACTCCCTCCCTCCCAAAATGAAGTTTACACTTTGACTCATGGAGTTTGAGAGAAGAGCTGAAAGGTGAAACTTGTTTGGTGAAAAGTGAAAGATGTCGGTTGAAATTTGTTTAGAAGAGATAAATGATAAGAATCACATATTCATTTCCTAAAAGGGAAAGAGGAAAAGTGTGAACTTTATTTTGGGACATCCAAAAAAGGAATGTGTAAACTTTGTTTTGAGATGTAAGGGGTAGAATATAAGTATGCATAATTGCATACAAAACTAGGACCCAATAGCTTTTGCACCCCATTAATATTTTTAAATACTCACTCCGTCCGGATTTAGTACGACACCTTTTTTTGTGTGGAATTAGCTATCCATTTTTCATATTTAGAGAACATATTATGGTGGATTGTCTGAAATAACTCAGCATATTTGCATTGATGACATCAATGAATGATGAACCAATTTAAAAGGACATATATGATCTTTTTCTCTCACACCTTAAATATGATTTTATTTTGGAAAATGGGTAACTAAATTAGGACGGATGGAATAAATCTATGCAGGGATGTGAGGCAAAAACTTGAGAGCAGGAAACTGCCCACCATCAAAGAAATATTGATTTGCCATTGGAGATAAGACATCATGTTCAAGCGTTCAACAGTTCATTGCTTCTAGAATTCAGGTTAATCCGCTTTCAAATACTAAGGCACAAAAATAATATAAAAACTTTAAAACCGATAGAATAATCAAAAGACATTGAGTTAAGTGGACACAGAATAAAGATTTTAATAAAAGAGCTGTGTCAATAACCTGGTCAAGAGTTAAATCTTCTGCAGACTTCAAAGAGTAAGGTGTCTCCATTTTTTCTCCGGCTGGCATTGTGATTAGAAGCTTCCAACTGCAACATAAAAACTAAAAAGTCAGAAAAAACTGCAGAAGGAAACAGCAAGTCTAAAAAAATATGCACACGCAAAGCAACATAAACTAGACATAGAAGATATTGTTCACATTCACATACTCCAACTCTCTACATAGAAAACTATAGTATTAGAGGTGGCAGAGCCACAAATGGATCAAGCCAATAGCAAAAACAACAACAAACCCCGAAAAAATCCACAAAAAACAGGGTCTCAAGAGGATGTGTGTACCTTGCCAATAGCAAAAACTAAAAGAAAAATAATGTAAAAATATTGTTAATAAATCAAAACGAATATTGACTAATAATCAAGGGGAAAAAATGCTAAAATGCATCTGCAATAACATATAATACAATGAAGAGATCGATATATAAAAACTGAATAAAGAAGCAACCTATCTAGATGGCAAAGTGGTGCACTGGTAACTCTATCAAGGACTCTCTTTATTGTTGATCTCCAGTTAAAAGGAAATGAACCTCCCTGAAAATACATATACACCAAATCACGAAATAGTAGATGGAAGAATTGGGAATTTAATGCAGATAAAAGTAACTTACCCAACCAAAACTACGGGACAAGTCATTTCCAGTACCGAGTGGTATTACTCCTGTTGGTGGAATGGGCTCTCGGCCTAATGCATGAAGTTCTCCAAGACATCCGAGGACCCACCCAACTGTCCCATCACCACCTGCTACCTGCCAAAACATATTTTACACAATACTATGTGCACAGGCAAAATAATGCAAACTACTGCAATAATCTAAACAAAATAATAATAATAACAATCATAAATAAATCAATAAAATCAATTGCTTACCACAATTTTCAACTTTTCACGAATGTCTTTGGCGCACGTGTCTCCAAGACCAGCAAACTTCTCTAGGCAGCTCAATCCATGTTGAACAAATTCATGAGGCTTCACATCTTGAAGGTCAAAAACCTGTCAAGAGATGACAGACAATGAGAAGGAGAAAATGATGCCAGAATAAATTTCATTTGCATCACAACCCGCTTAGATAATAATTAAACGTCAAATTTTCAAAAAAAAAAACAAACATCGTACTGAAGCTCCAGTTGCAAGAGGGAAAAAAGTGACACAAAATTGTTGAGGAAGGCTGTTATGGTTCTGTCAATCTATATAGCAACAGGTTGCGAGTTCAGCCTAAGGGGAATAACTCAAAACCTTGTAAGTTCAGGAAAATAATTTTTTGCATTTGTAGCTGAGAAGCCTACCTTCTGCATTCCAAAGTCTTGTTCCTCCAATCCTACCTTTCCCATTATACATAGAACTATGGCCTAAACATTACTCTATTTGCTTAATATTTTAAAGAACTTATCATACATACTTAGACATGAAGATTATAAGCTATGAAAATGCAGAATTAAGAGACCAAATATGAAATTATTGTAAAGCCTCGAAGAGGAAATAGCATGATTAGCATGGAACATTGATCATCAACAAGGCGTAGCTACATCAATAATACTTGTTCTGATATAACAGAATGTCTTCTTGAAGGTTAGTACCTCGTTCAAATTTTAATCAATTCAAAACTTCAAATAAAACAATAAATGCCTTTTATAGAATGTTTTCTCATGACCAAAATGCCCAATCATATGTGTAAGGATGATGGGTCAAAAATTGTAGAAATTCGTCAAAAGCTTTAGATGTGCATTGCAAAGTTTCATAAAGCATTTATTGCATGGGATCTGTCTAAACCTATAAACTTTTATTGCATACAAATGTTGCACCAACTCGGCTGCCAGACACATTCTACATTTGGGCACTGATAGGCACCATATTCGATACCTTTCCTCAAAAGCACACCTTTATCTTTATCTCTATCAGTCCCCTGAGAATTACCAATTGCATATGACCATATAAGATTTTTTTTCAAAAAAAAAAAAAAATTACACCCTCCGTCCATATTTAATGGTTGAGTGATTACAAAAGGGGGGGTCTAGGTACATTTATGGCGTAGGCATATAAGAAATGCAATCTTTGAGTGAATGTACCCAAGAAAAAATTTAAAGTCAATAATGCAGATACCAAAAGTCACACAGAGACACGACTTCATGTTTTTCAACAGCTTTCAAAATTTGACAAAGAAAAAGGGGGGGGGG